GTGTTCTTTTTAAGGTAAATGATGATGATGTGGACCATTTACTACTTCCAACTCCCCACAGAAATTTGGTCCCTAATGTCTTTTATATTTGATAAGGCATGGAAGCTACACAGAGCCATGGAAGATACATTAGCGAGTTGGGATTAAGAAAATAGGACTTCAGGTAGGAGTCGCAGAAGGGTGCTCCTCTTTGCATTTTTAGGCTGATTTTGAGGAAAAGAGTAATAGAATCTTTTAATGGGGTTGATCAGTCCCTGTGCAGAGTAAGGCTCCTGCTGCTTCCAATGTGTTTGTGTAAATGGATATCTCATATTGTATATATAGCTGGCAGAATATTTTTTGAAGCTTGATGTGATCCCACATTTATAGTGACAGTGTATTGGTTTGATATCAATGAAATGATTTTGAGTTCAAAGAAATAAATGAAATGTTAAGCTATTACACATTCTGAGCATCATAGAAACCCAATGACACAAATATGTGACGAAAGTTAGCTGGCAAACATAGAAAATAGGAATGTAAGTTTTAAGTCACAAACCTCTTGGCAAGAAAGGTTATTGAGACGTCCTGCATATCATTGGATAAATATGTTGAATAGCTCATAGGCTTGACTATATGTGTAATTGTATATGCATCTTTGGAATCATCAGACTTGTTTTTAAAAACAAAGTCACTACCCACAAATTCATGATTGTGACTTCCTTCCTGCACAAAAGTAGCCAACGGACCACCTAATGCAGCATCTTGGATACCATCCATCACAGCTGTGGTAGTATCCTGTTTAAACCTCCGAACAGAACCAGATTTCCTCTTTCTAGCTCCAGTGCAGCGATCAGATTGAAAGGACTCTGCACCATTGACCTTTGCAAATCCATTTGAGAGACCATTAGCAGATCTATCCACAGAGTTTTCATTGGTCGACATTGCTCCTTTTAATTCACTCAACTTCAAATTCAACTCATTTTGCTCTCTAGTTTCCTCTAGAGAGAAACCTAACTCCAAACCATTGCCATTCACCACTTTGTCTACTTTGCTGCTCAATTCACTACCATTACTGTCCACACGACTCATAGCCTTCAAACCATTCAGAGGAGATGAGGGTGTAGGTTCCTCAATTATCCTAACCTTCACTGCTGGCACATTATATGTAGCATCTGGAGGGGAACACTGCTGCTGCTGCTTTTTCTTGGGCTGAGTGTGTGTAACCCCACATTTTCGCTTACGCTTGCGTGTGGATCGTTGTTTCCCTGACTGCAAGCTTCAAAGTGAAAAGGTAAACAGATCAAGAAAGGTGCCACAGGTTAACAAGTCAGCTAGCCCTTATACACAAGATCACTGTAAGGGACAAAAAATAAGGGATTAAAAACAGAACTAACCTCTCTTCAAATGATTCAATAACATCAGAACAGGACATTAGATTCTTCACAGGTTCCCATGTATTTGCCGTCTCTGGCCAGCCTCGCCTGTACAACAACACCCATAACATCTATCACCTACCTTTTTTCTTTTTTCACATAGTTTACAGGAAGCAGAAAAAACCCAACTGGACAGCAACTATAATGAAGCCACTGAAAATACTAAATCGTGCACTATGGTTCGAATAACAGCATCTTAACCACTGGGCTGTCCCGGGGAACTATCTCCTAGAAACTTCAAAAAATGGGAACTTGGAGCCAAAAAATACAACAAAATCTAAAATTTTCAGTAATTATATAGAAACACTTACCATTTAATCAAATACTGAACTTGACCCTTTAGTTTCCACAGCATTTCCAAGATTCCATATCCATAAAAAATCACAGAAATTAATGCCCAAAAATCAGGATAAAAAGATCAATAAAACTACTTCACATAATCAATGCAACTAATAAAAATTTTTAAAAAAAACCTTTCGTATTCTTTTTCTCCTAACGGCTTCAATTTCATAAAACCCTTCAGCAAGTTTTGGTTTTTCATTATCAGCTTCACCATCATCCCCATCTCCTTCCATTTCAAACTCCTCTTCATAAGTTTTTTCTTCATTTTCTTCTTCTTCTCCAGCCTCCGGCGACGCCACAGGTTCCTCATCGCCGTCGCCGGCGGCGTCTTCTGGAGTTTCATCTCTCTCTTGCTGCTGCTGCTGAGCTTCTTCTCCTTGAGGTTCCAACATACCGTCCCACGGCAACTCACGGTTACCGTTTCCGGATTCCGACGGGGGCTTTAGGGAGTCTGTACCTGCCGGAATGCTGGAGTTTTTCTTCTTCCCTCCTTTCATTCTCTCTCTCTCTCTCTCTCTCTCTCTCTCTCTCTCTAAAGGGTTTTCCTTTTATTCTATTTCCGTTGATTTATTGATGATTGATGTGAAATTTTCTTTTCCTAAATACTTGTCTTGAGAATGAAAGGTTTTATACTCTTTTTTTCTTTCCATTTCACTGATAATTCAACCTTTTTGTATCGAATTCTCATTTTTCTTTAATTATTTATTACTGTATTATTTATGAAGGAATAAGTGATAAATCTATTCCCATTATATTTTGCCTTTGTTTTCTTTATTTTTAATTTTTTACTTAAATAATCATCAACGGAAATATACTTTCTAAATTATGTTATAATGGTCATGTGAACACTAATATTGCTACACATATCTTGTGGACATCTTTAAACTTTCCTTAATACATTAGATGGTAATCCTATTATGCAAAACTAGCATTTATTAAGTTGTTTGAACTTGAATCTTATTTTTTATTACATGATTTTTGTATTTGTCAATGTTATAAGATCTGATATTTAATGCTAAACCAATTTATTATATAGTTCAAATTCATCCTCTTTATCTACCGCGTTTTTTCTTACTAGTCTCAAGGTACGCGCGTTGTGCGTGTACCCAATATTAATATGTTTAAAATTTTAAAATACTTCATATATTATTAAAAATGTGTCTAAGTTATAAAATAGAGAATAATGATAAATGTATGTAAGTTTCTAAAAATAATAAATGTTGAGCCTATTTTAGAAAACTCAATAAAAAAAAAGCTCTACCCGTTTATTTTCTCATCCACATGTTAATGTTATTATATTTATTTTCTTCTTTTCTTAAAAATTAAGAAAGGGACTTTAAGAATACCTAATCCATGTACTCATATGATATTGTCATAATCTATTTCTCTATTATTCTTATTCCATGAAAACAAAATTCAATTAAATTGAATGTTGTTATCATTAAGTTTTTAAAAGTAAAAGTTTGAGAATCTAGATCAATTTAAAAGAAAAAGTAGAATCTAATATCGCGTTTTTTTGGTCACTGCCCTGCTTGGGTTTTATAGATTTTCTATACTGTATAACAATAAAGATAGTTATTACTGTAATATAATAAACCATTGATTAATTAAGTTTTCAAAAAGGATTCAAACTTTGCAAAAAGTTTTATTCTCATTGTAGTGATAGTTGAAAAACTCCTTCAACTATCGTAAATCTAGCAAATTCGACCTTAACTAAAAGTATTGGGTTTAACTCCTGGGTATAAAATTATCTTTGTTAATGTGTGATTTTCTGATGTGAAATCGAATTTAATCGGCCCCAATACAAGTATAAAATACTGAGTAGAAAATCAATAAAAATAGAGTAGCATAGTTTTATTAGATTTATAATCCTTGTGAAAACTAACTTGAGTTACAAACATAAACAGAACACTTGAATTCAAAATGATATCATCTTAACTTACAAAGATGATAAATTTAATTAAGTCTCATATGCATTATTAGAACCACTTTATTGTCATGTAAAAGAAAGATATTCATAGAAACTTGCACTTGTATTTTTTCCTTTAAATTAAATTTTATATATTAAAAATTATTATTTAATGATTTTTTATTAATTAATATTTTAAAATTAACTCAATTATTTGAATTATGCAGTAACTCATAATATTTCGGAACATAAAGTAGTTATAAAAGATATCTAACTTAATTTAGTTTTTAACTTTATATGAACTAATATAAATTAAGATTTTAAAGGGTTGTAAGATTTTTTTTACTTAACTTAAAATGTTATAAATGTTTTTAGAGCTTAATACTAAATTTTTCCTTTATATTTGTAAAAATTTAAGATCCCTAAATTAATTTTAAAAAAAATCCCTTCTCCAAATAGAACTCAAAATTCTCACGTTCCAGAATTGTTGTACCGAAGGGAAATTAAGCATATAGACTCTTCCTTTTTCTAGAATCTTGTATTGACTTTACAATATGCTACGTAAATATCCTATTCTCCCACATTTTTTTTTGTTTGTAATTATGAATAATAATTCTTTTTAAAAGAAAATTATGGGAATGCCTTTTTAATCAAAGTAGAATTAACTTTGTAGGGTTGGTGTATATGTAGTTCAAGTCGAATTTTTTTTTCATCATTAGGTAATTTACAATTAGATCCTTAAATTATACAAATATTTAAGGTCATAAAAGTCAATCAATGTTTCGGGGATATTTTAATCGTTCAACATTTAGCATAAATTATTTATGTTTTTATAATAATATAGATATAAATATAGATATTTCATATATGCACACGGTATGCAATAAAGGAAGTAGTATTTCTTTTGAAGATTTGTACTCATAAATATGTCAACTTCTAAAAATTTGGTTATTAAAGTTCTAAAGCAAAGTTAATCGAAAGCCAATGGTTTAACCAAATATATAAAAACCAATAGTCTAACGTTTGAACTTTTTTCTCAAAAAAATAAAAAAGAAAGAAAAAGTTACAACTATCTAAAGCTTTTTTTCAAGTAACAAGCTGGTTTTCAGAAAATCAAACCAATTTCTTCCAAAAGCCAAAACAACTCAGATTTCATAAAAATAACACAAGTGTAAAATCATTTTCCAAAGGGATTTTTCCAGAAAGTTGTTTGAGAGAAACTTTTCAAAAACAAATCTTTCCGAAACCTAATCTAAACCAAATCCAAATCCAAATGCTAGTATCTGGAGAATAATAAAATTGGAGCTGCTCCAATTACTTACAAAATCTAATGATTGGAGCCAAAACTTTGTATTATGCACAAAATATTTGCAGAGGTTCTGAAGAATAAGAAGAGTTGAAGAACCAAAGCTTATCTGAGCCTCAAATTTTCTAACCACAAAAGACTCAATGACTAGAAGGTCAATGCTACTTTCTTGATATATATAAACAATAATAATAATAATAATAATAATAATAATAATAATAATAATAATAATAATAATAATAGAGATTTTAAGCAGTTATATATTGCTGCAAAAATTTAGTTCTTTTCTTGTTCTTCAACTTGCGGAATGCACAAGACTCTATTTGTCGGATTCTCTCCCGGCTAACGCCCATTAATTCACCAATCTCTTGTAAAGTCTTCATCCTCCCGTCAGCTAGTCCAAATCGCCATTTAACAACCTGCTTCTCCCTTGGATTTAAGGTGTCTAATACCTTCTCCAGGTCCTGTCTCATGAACTGCTTCATCAGCATTTCTTCTGATGTTTCAGCTTCAGGGTCTGCAATCACTTCCTGGAAAACCCAAAAGAAAGGCGTCAATGAACACAACTGTGGAATATTGCACGAGGGGACAAAAAAATGACACCCTAAACAGGTAAAAAGAGATATGTTTTTAGGACTAACCGAAGGTTTGAGACTTTGATTGAACCCGATTTTCTGGTCAAGTGATCTTGGAGCTTTAGGAGTTAGCATCACAGCAGTGAGCCTCTTCATTGACAACCCTGTTGCTTCAGCTACTTCCTCATCGTTAGGAAGCCTACCATTTTCAGTAAATAATTGCTTTCTTGCTTCCTTAACTCTGTACGTAGCCTCAACCATGTGAAACTGTAAACAAAAGATTCAAAAAAATGGAAGGTCAACGAGCATATATATGGACATAATCTTTTTTTAAATCAACAATATTCAAATGGCATATTCATAAATAATAAAAAAATAATAATGGCATATAAAAAGAAATGTCCTCTTAAAGTTGGATATCACGTACTGGCAACCGAATCGTCCTAGACTGATCAGAAAGGGATTTCCTAACTGCCTGCTTAATCCACCAGTGAGCATAAGTTGAGAACTTAAAACCCTTAGCAGCATCAAATTTTTCAGCACCTCTTACAAGTCCCCGACATCCTTCCTGCATATAAATTTCCAAAACGAGCATAGATCAATAGATGGTTACTTCAGATGGTTTTGATCCCTTAATAGAACTAGTCTTGAGAAAGTATAGAATTGCACCATATATACCTGAACCAGATCTTGAAGATTCATCCCTACTCCTTGATAATTTTTGGCAATAGAAATAACGAGCCTTATGTTGCTTTTAATCATTTTATCTTTACAAAGAATGCCATAGTTCAGACGCTTCCTTAGAGTCTTTTGTTCAACTCCGGCTGCAGCAGCCCATTGGGCAATAGTAGGCTGACCTCCGCATCGCGCTGCAAGCTCCTGCTCAAGTCTTTCCAACTTCAATAGATCCTGCATCATTTTGGTGACTGATAAATGGTCTAAAAATTGAACTAAAAAAGAAATAAAATATTTGCAACGGAAGTAGGAAGCAAACTCCACAGCAAAATATAGTACAGATATGACATTTGAAGTCGTAAACATTCAATTAGAGCCATAGCAGACTTTTGGTTTCATTCTGACAGCTTTTATCATTAATGGACACGCGCAAATTTTGGCTATACAAAAAAATCCTTAAAAAGGATCAGTACTAGAAAATTACATATTAATATCTCAAAAGCCAACACCAAGAATGAACAAAACATAGGAGGTCAATAAGAGAGAGAAGATTCACAATGTACTTAAATCTCGAAGTTTTCAAGAAAAAGAGATGATGCAAGCTTCTCAGATTTCAGATCCAAGAAGAGCACTGAGCTTTGAGTAAAATAATGAAAGGCAAGGCAAGTGAGATAATAAGAGAGCACATTACACCTGTTTGGTGCTCTTCTACAAACTTTTCACCTATCAAGTTAAAAAACAAAACAAATGAAAAGTTCGTTTTTTCAGTATTAATAATTTGATCAACCGGCACATACTTAGCATTCTATTACTAAGACCCAAACACAGACAGAAGAGGAAGAAGAAAACAGTAGCTCTGCTAATCGTCAAACGCAAAGCAGATATGAAGAAGAACTTAAGAGGAGAAGCATTACATGTATTGAAATCCATTTAAGCCGGCATTCGAATAATAGGCACATGAAATAATATTGCTGTGGTAAAGGAAAAAGGAAGAGGCGAAATCTTGAAAGGGAAAACAACAACTGCTATAGGGTCACATTGTCTTATACTTGGGAAAAGCTAGAGCACACCTGTATTCCTCTCGATAACTCCTGTTCTTCAGATGCAGTCAGTAGCCTAGAACTACCAGTAGTTCCTCTCAAGTAACGCAATGGATCCGAGTAATCAACCTCTTGTACTGAAGTACGCTTCTTTCGACTAGTAGAACCAGACTTCACAGAGACAACATTGGCTGCGGCCCTCTCTGCTGCTCTCCCTCTTCTGGCCTTCCGCTCAGTTTGACGCGTCGATTTCACAGCGATGACATTTGACAGCTGCGACTGAAGAATTTCCAGTTCTTCAGGTGATGGCTCCAAGTCATCAGAATCTGTAAGGGAGTCCTCAAATAAACTACTTTCGCTCCACTTCATCTCACTTCCCTTAAATTCTGCACCAACACGAACTCTCCCTGTCTCACTAGGTTGGGCCAGAGGAACACTCTCAAACGGAGTAGTCCTAGCTTCTGATAGAGTACCTCTACCAGCATCATCGGAGTTCTTTAGATTGTTATGGCCGACCAACAATACAGCGTCTTTTGCAAACTTCAATGCAGCCTTTGCTAAAGCAACTGCTTCAGCGGCTGCAGCGGCTACAACAGCTTCATCACTTGTAACAAGATTTTCTGTAGCTAAAGCACTTTTAGTGTTCGCCTGCAAACATGACAAATCAAAATTATACTTGTAACAGCATTTTCATGGCAAAACAAGGTTTAATTCAATTAATGGGAAGTAGAGTACAGTCAAATAAAAATAGGAGACTGAAACCTAGCAAAATGGCACTAAGGTAAGTAATAAGGTTAGGAAGTATTAACCAAGATAACCAAAGCTAAGGAAAACTTTTTCATCGACTGTTAGCTAACAACCTATTGAAGTTAAAAACTACCTGCAGAACATATTTCGAAAATGCAAGTACATTTGAAGCTTTAAAAAATACCTAGAACTACATCTGAAACTTATTTCATATTTCATAAAAGATTGATGACCTCGGTCCTTTTCAGTTTCTCCAACTTAAATGTATCCATAATTTTCTAGGCTATTTATTTAAGTTCTAACCTCTGTAGGTGGACCAACTGCCCCAGTGTATGTCCATGGCCTATCTGGGGCAACTGAATCAGGGTTAGCCTCAAAAGATAGCAACTTTAGCCTCGGTATATCAAGTACTGCTGATGTGGCAGTTGATGGTGGTTTCCATGATCTCTCCGCTGCAACTGAACTTGAAAGGATTTCAATAGATGGTAACTTTAGCTTCTCAATGTCAAGCACTGTAGACGTTGCTGTTGATGTTGCTGCAGATGTAGTAGCTAGGATACATTGTGTCCTCAAATGAATATGATCTCTACCTTTTGCTGCAGCCAAGGACGATAGTAAGAACCACAGAAGTGTACGTCCATAAGATGGATCATTAACAACTTTGACCAATGATTGAAGAAAACCACAAGATTCGACTAAGAAGTTTAACTTTTAGTTTCAAGGATGATTCTAATAAGACAGTAGTACTAGAGCAAAAGCACCAGATCACAAATTCAAGATTACATATGCATATCAGGAATTTCAAAAGAAATACTGAACCACAAAGCCGATGTCTTCCTAAAAATACAACTAGCAGAACAGAGTTTTCTACTTAGATCGGGCTTTCACTTGGAAAACAATATGAAGTCTGCTCATTCTAAGTACCATCAGGACGAAAACCATCATGCAATTCTCAGAATGATACAGTTTCATTCGACAATTTTGGTCCAAGCTACCTAGTTAGTGATTTAACAGCCCATTACTGGTTCTTTCTCTCTACCACTCAATGCGTGTTTGTCAGCGAGCATGCAGGTGTCTCCGTTGCACATAACTTCTCTACTTTTGACTAGTGAATGATAATCTAAAACCTCGCAAAACAATATATTTCTGTTTTAAGTAGTAGAAACCACAACATAACGAACATAAACGACAATGATAGCTACATGAGGAACGCAGTTGCTTTGCAGTAAGCTGCCAAATTTTTCTAATCCATTATGCGGTAACGAACAATCCATTTAGATACTAATTGCTAATAAAATCACAACATTTCACCTATCACTAATATAAAAAGGTTACAAATTCAAGAAGGAAAATCTTACTCAAATTCAAAGTAACAATTGGATAATGTTTGTCCTAATATAATAATGGTCCTGCTTGATTTCACCAAAAATGGGGGAAGTGCATACAATTAGAGCCACTTCCTAATCCATTTGTTTCCTTCAGCAAAATCAAGATCCATTCCCACTTAAGAAGTTGAAATTTCATAAACAGGAAAACTACTAGCCATATCATTTACACTTCTCTGCCAAAATTTGATCTTGTCTTCAACCAAACAATTTCCACGATATAGAAGTAACAAAATTAAACATTTTTGAACTCCACTTATTGAATTATCAATTCATGAGTAGATTAAAAGAAATGAAGGACAAGCAAAATTAATAATCCATACATAAAAGAGTGTCAAAGAGCTTTATCTCATTCAGTATTAACCATAGAAATACCATTAAGCAAGAAGCAAACTTGACCCAATTCCCATCTAATTTACAACATAATTTTGAAGAGAAAAAAGATAGGGAGACTTACAAAGCTGAATGGTGGAGTTTTGGTTGGTTTTGAAGCAAAGGACAAAAGTATCTGGCAAACTCTTGAATTGTGGCAATAAATAAGACATACTATTTCTCTCTACTCTAAATTCATATACTGGCATATGGGGGTCATAAGAAGATACTCATGATTTGCACAACATGCATTCATACACTATATTTTCAACGATTTATCAGTCAATAAAGCTGCTATTTGAATTTTAATCTTGAAAAATGCGGTTGAACTAAAACACGGGTTAGTACTGAAGAAGACTGGTAGACTGGTAGAGATTGAAGAAGAAGAAGAAGAAGAAGAAGAAAAGGAGGTAAAGGAGAGAAAGAGGAGATAAATAAAAGGATAAGAGAACTTAGCCTCTCCGGAATGGAATAAGGACTAGAAAGGGACAACGAGCTGATTCCTTCTTTATTTTTTTGTTAATTCCTCTTTTATATGGGCTTTTTGTCGGCCCTTTACTCTAAAAACATTGACACAATAAGCCCATCTAATTGAGAATATTCACAATTCAAGGGAATTTATTAGTGAGTAGACATACTTTCGTCTTAATTCTTTTTTTTCATAAGAGTGTTTAATTAAAAAATAAAAAATTTGGATAGAAAATGTTTTAATCTTTTATGAGCTTATCCAAATTTGAATTGATTGAACATTATGACTTTTGATTATAAAATAGTTACATAAAAACATAATTTTATGTGGCTTAACAAATGCTTTTTCCCTTCTCGCAATCAAATGTTGTCACACTTTAACTTATCAATTGATAGAGAATGTGAATTATCTATAGAGCAATGAGTTTTTTTCTCATCTACCAAAATATGTAGTATAATGTGCTTCAGATTCTTTTCCTTATGAATTTGTAGCTTTGCACAATAAGTTCTTTTCATTGGTGAAAGAATAAGGGTGTGTTTGGTATAAACAAGTAGTAATTTTATTCATTTTTTGATGTTTGGTACGCAAATTAAGGAAAATAATTTTTTAAGAGTATTCATAAATAATTTAGATATAATAAACATGAAGCCATAAACTTTCAAACCAACAACCTTCCGAACCCACAAATTTCATAAACTTTTGAACCACTAAACTTTTGAAACCGCGAAATTTCGAACCCCGTAAACTTTATATTTTCTAAACCCATAAACTTCCAAACACATAAACCTCCGAACTCATAACTTTGAAACTTGTAAAATTTTGAACCTTTAAACCGATAAATAAAAAAATTATATTTAAAAAATATTTTTTCTCGGGAGGGGGG